AGACTTCCAATGCATTAAGTTCAATAATATAAACTCCTCATACAAATAACTTTAATTGAAAGCATAAAATCACTAAATCCATATTGAATTGATTAGGCTACATCGTAACCCTAGTAGAATAAATCAGTTCATAAAAAAAAGAATAAAATCTGAAATCAAAGTTATGAACATTCAAATATCAAACAATAAATAAAAACTCAAGGAAAAACAAAACCCAATTTGAGGAAATCGAACTCCTCGATCTTCTATTGTTGATCGAACCTCAATATTGATCTCCAATAATGCCCAAAAGAAGGCTGCCACTAGCCTCTCAAAACTCCCTTTATTCTGAATTTGGATGGGTATTTATAGGATTTTAGAAACCCTAACTGAAATAAAAGTAGGACTTGAAACAGAAATAGAAAACTAAATTTTAGATGCTGATCACGTGATGCTGACACTTCGGATTACGTGTTGACACAAAATAGGAAACAAAATCTGATTATGGACGTTTAGCGCATAGTGTTGACACCCCGATCATGTCTCGACACTACACCTGTGTCGGGTTTCTGGTCTCCTTTTGCAATCTCTTCAATGGCAAAATAGCAGATTTGGTTCCTGACTTCTGGATTCTGCATAAGTTGATCCTCGAGTCTTTGATCTCTTCAATTTACTTCTAAAAAGTAGGATTTCTTCCAATTAAATCCTTTCATACACAAAGAATGAAAACCATATAAAATCAAACAAAATCCCATAAAACTCATCCAAATATTAATAAAATCAAAGTAAAAATTCCCTATTAATATGTATATAAATTTAGCTCATCATATATAATTGATGATGTTTAAATTTAATATTTTAATATCAAATTTTATTACAATATTTATCATTTAAATTAAAATTTGTTAAGTAAAAAAAATTTGTTAGTTTGATATTAAACTTGACCAAAATAAAATGCATTATTTTTTGACAAATTCACAATTCTTTCAGTCATACTTACTAACCAAAATAGTTTTATAGAAAAAATGAATTTATTATAATTTCGGTTATATTTTTCAACCGAAAAAATATACAACAAATTCCCACGAATATTCTCTTGGAGTTATTTCGGTTAGTAATTTTGACCAAAATATGATGCAAGAAATTCACGTCCACTTTATTTTGATCAAGGAGAATGACCGAATGAATACGATGTACATTACCAAAAATACCATCTCCACTAATTCGGTCATGTCTCCTCACCGAAATAGGATAACCAAAAACTGTTGATTTATGAATATTTTGGTCATTATAGTTGACCAAAATACATTATTAAAATAATATTGATGTATTTCAGTCATTAGAGTTGACCGAATGTGTTTTGGTCAAATATTTTGACAAAATATAAGTGTCTTTTAATGATTTTTTCAGGTCTTTTTGGTCAATTACCTTACCGAAGTAATTCGTATTTGGGTCAAGATAAAATTCTCTTCAAAATTATATTTTGTAGAGAGCATATTTGGTCCAATAATTCAGACAAAGATCTTGACCGAATATCTTGTTTTTCAATCATTTTATGGCCTTCTTCGGCAATGTTGCTGAGCGAATTTGTGCTTTTTTCTAGTAGTGAATGGGGAAGGTCAGTGATCTCATTTTTCCTTTTCCTTTTTGGGATGGACCTAAGAAGGCCCTTTAGACATGAAGTTTTTGAGTTTCATAGACTCCCAAAAAAAGAAAAAAAACTGTTATCTAAACCCAAACATTTGTCATGAGAGAGATGACGAATAAAAAAGGGTGTCGGGTTTTGCCGCTTGAGCTGTGTTATCTCTTAATTTAATAATATTTGTTTTTTTATAACATCTAGTTTGACTTAAAAACATGTTTTTTTATTAAAAAATTTTTCTAGTAAAATTAAAGAAAAATTATCATTTTCCTCAACTCTATCACGCTGTTAAAGTGTTCAATGAAATTAATGTATGAAGAAATACAATGTAATTGTAGGAGGAACGTACGCGTTGTATTCCATGTTGAGTCGATATGCGAAGATAAACTTGATTCCGAATAAAAAACCAGAGGACAGAGAGATCTAGAACTACAGACCGGACCTGCCGTCGAGTGAGTTACAACGGGCTTCTAAGATCAAACAGACGCTCGAGAACAGCAGGGTTATTCAGGTTTTGCTTTTCCTTGTAACCATCCTCAGAACTTCTAGGGTGATTAGAGATGGGATTCTTACTCTGAGCATTTCAAGTACTTCGACTTGTTTCTGTTGGAGAATTAAGAAAGGACTTGGAAGAGAAAGGGAGAAGCACTAGAGTTCCCTCTTTGTTGAGGTGAGAACTCAGTTTTTCATTCATTGTTCTGCTATTATAGAGCAAAAAATTCAGTACATAAACAGTACCTGATACTTATCCATTAAGAGAAAAATCTACAAAACATTTAATGCAAGATTACATTAAAAGTCTTGCTTTCATTTGTGTGGCTCCATGTGGCTGTTCTTGCTGCTACTTTGCAGCCTTCCATTTGCTTTCATTTGCATTACATTTCAACCTCATTTCATCATCATTTCATCAATATTTTGCAGCATAGGTTGTTGCACTTTGTTGCTATCGTGCTTTGGTGTAGCCTTCTTCATTTGCTGCCCCTGGTGCAGCTTTGTTTTCATTTTCTGCCACTTGTGCAGCTTTGTTTCATTTGCTTCCTCTTGTGCAGCTTTCACACCACAACTCCAACACTCCTCATTGGTGTTAAAACTGAGGATAACATAACATTAACCAAGCATTTGGAATCTACCATTTGTGCAGCTCTCTATGCTTTGTTTTGATTTTTTGTTGCTGCTAAAGCATCTCCTTTAGCAGATCAGCTCCTCCTTCAATGTTGCAACTTCATCTTGCTTGGATTTGCTGCTTTCACACATTTTTTTGGAGCTTTCTTGAGCCTTCCCGTAAGTTGCTCAATTTTCTTCTTGTTTCATTTCCTTCTACAGCTTCGTTAGGGATATAGATCAGGTTCAACTTTTGGTGAACAGGATTTGATGCATGCTTTGAGTTTTCTCTTTCTCAAGTTGCACCCTTGACAGACTTTTTCCCTTTGGACTATTGGCTGTAGAATCCATGGACACCTTCTCTTTGAATCTAGCTTTCCTCTCCTTGACATTTCCCATGGTGGGACTAACATATGCCTCCATCTTCACAGCCTTTTTTGCTGCAAGATTTTGGCCAAGCAAGACGGGTTTCATGTGAAGAACCCTCTGAAAACAATGAGAAATGTGGGGTTTTTCTGGTGTTCCCTCAATATCACTCTCAGAGGTCCCTCAAGATCATTGAAGCTCTAATACCATGTTGGATTTTTCTGGTGTAAACAGAAGGGGCTTTGAGGAGGAAGAGAGCCAACTGAGAATTCCTTCTTTGTTGAGGTGAGAACTCAGTTTTTCATTCATTGTTCTAGTATTATATAGCATAAAATTCAGTACATAAACAGTACCTAATACTTATCCATTAAGAGAAAAATCTACAAAACATTTAATGCAAGATTACATTAAAAGTCTTGCTTCCATTTGTGTGGCTCCATGTGGCTATTCTTGCTACTACTTTGCAACCTTCCATTTGCTTTCATTTGCATTACATTTCAGCCTCATTTCACCATCATTTCATCAATATTTTGCAGCATAGGTTGCTGCACTTTGCTTCTACCGTGCTTTGGTGCAGCCTTCTTCATTTGCTGCCCCTTGTGCAGCTCTGTTTTCATTTTCTGCCACTTGTGCAACTTTGTTTCATTTGCTGCCTCTTGTGCAGCTTTCACACCACAACTCCAACAATTTCTGTGTATATTAAACTGGGCGTTAAATACATAAAATAAAATAAAATAAAAGTTGCATAAGGTAGACTGTATTAAAAGTATAATTTATTTTAAGATTTATTTAACTGGTATTTTTAAGATATAAATTAAAAAGATAATTAATATATTTTTTATATTAATAAATAGAAAAAATTAATAAAAATTGATATTAATTTTATTATCAATGTTAAATATATCATTTTAATTAGATAATTAATTAAATAAATATTAAATTTTATTTTTTTAATGATAATTAATATTAAAAAATTCTTAATTTATACTCTTAAAGCACAAATTAAAGTTTTTTTATTTTATAAATTTATTTAAATATTTTAAATAAAATTAAAATTTTATATTATTTTATTAAAAATATTTTAATGAATTTATAAAATAAACAACACTTTTAATATATAGTTACCCCTTTAAACATGAATCCCTAAATACATTGTTTTCAAATTTATTTATTTATTTATTTATTTTTGTAATCCCTTCTAAATTTGTCTCGACCAGGCCCATGGGTTCTCGTCCCTCAAAGCAATTTAAGTGCCCAACCCACTAAACCACCCAAACCAATAAAAGAAGGAAATTTTAATTTTAAAAGAAAAAAAAGTTTATTTTAACCTAATATAAGTTAAGAATATAATAAATATATATTTTATTATAAATTATATTAAAAATATAAAAGTTAACTTTTAATTTATTAACTATTTAATTAAATTTATTCACTTAGTATTAATATTAAAATTAATGTTAATTTTTATATTTTCTTATATACATTAATGATAAAAATGTATTTTTAATTTATATGGTAAAAGCACAAGTTAGAAAAACTTTAAAAAAATATATTTTTTAACTTGTACCCTATGGGCATCATTTTGACCTTAATTAAAATTAAAAAAGTAAAATTTAGTCCTTATTTCATCAATTATCTAATTAAAATAAGTTACATAGAATTAGTAATAAAATTAATATTGGTTTTTATCATTTTTAATTTCAATTAACATTCAAAAAATTTCATAAAAAATGTTAAAAAATATATTAATTATACTTTTAATATGTGCTCAACGAACACAACTTAAAAAAATACATAAAAAAATAGGATAAATGTTAATTTCAACCATCCAAGCTAACTTATTAAATAAGATTTATTAAAAGTATTTTGTTACTTTCACAATCCACTACAAACAGATGGTTTTTTTTTTTTTTTTATCATTAACAATTTTTCTCCTATTATTTTTTCAGTACTGTCTGCAGTGGGTGGCACCAGCTCCCTCAGTGCAGGTTAGTTTTTCCCCTCTTAAATATGTATATATATATATATATATATGTATATATATATATATATATATCTTTTTGGCAGTAAAAATGCTTATAATTTGTCTAGCACCATTGATTTGCAGTGCTGTGGGTGGGGGTTTCTGTAGCAATTTTGATCCTCCTCTTTGTTGTTCAACGATTTGGCACTGACAAAGGGGGCTATTCAGTTGCACCCCATCATCTGTGTATGGTTTGCATTTCTAACTGGGATTGGTCTGTATAACCTATTTACACATGGGGTAAGAGTGCTACGTGCTTTTAATCCATATTACATTGTCAAATACTTCAAAAGAAATGACAAGAAAGGGTGGATTTCTCTTGGTGGAGTGATACTTTGCATTACAGGTTGGTGATTAGTGGTAGAATTAAATGATCTCTTTAGTGTTCATGTGAGCCCTTTTGTTTTGGAAAATGAAGATTCTTGTGACCATTTTCGCTGCTCTGGCCGTTTTAGAGATGGAGACTGTATCTTTGTTCACTTAAAATTTTTGAGCATTTTGATGCTGCAATTAATCCAAATGGTATTTTCATCTATGTTTTTAAGCTAAATGGATTTGGACAAAACACAGATTGGATTATTTTTGGGTCCTTAATTCCTTGTTAGCTTGAACTTTTAGTTGGAACGGTTCTTGACTGGTTTATAATACATTTATTGCTGCAACAGGAACTGAAGCCATGTTTGCAGATCTAGGTCACTTCAGTGTCAGAGCAATTCAAGTAAGTAGTTAGAAAATAGATTCAAGGAAACTGTAGGCCTCAATTTGATTATGATTTGCAGGAAATGCAGATACGCTTCTCTGGAGTTGTCTTGCCTTCAATAGTAATTGCATATATAGGACAAGCTGCCTATCTCAGCAAAAACACCCAAAGATGTTGGTCAAGCTTTCTACAGCTCAGTTCCAGGTAATTAAGATTCCAATGAAACATGAAGCTGGATATGTGATTCATATATTCAGTAACTATTTTCTAAGGGAACAATCATAATGCAGGTCCATTGTATTGGCCACAATTTGTTGTAACTGTTTTGGCTTCTATCATTGCCAATCAAGCCATGATATCTGGAACATTTTCAACCATCTCACAGTCCTTAAGTCTTGGATGTTTTCCAAAAGTTAAGGTAGCTCACACCTCTGCTAAGTATGAAGGTCACGTGTATATACCTGAGATCAATTAAATGCTAATGATAGCATGTGTTATAGTCACAGTTGCCTTCAAAACCACTGAAAAGATCGGCATTGCATATGGTGAGCCAAAGATTTTGAGAACTATTTTCAAAACCCTTTTCAAAAAATCAAGGATTAATTGCTTATCTTTCTCTTGGATATAGGAATGCTGCTGTTGCTGTGATGATTATCACGACATGCCTGGTTACTCTCATAATGCTGGTTATATGGAAGATAAGCATATGGTGGGTTGCCCTCTTCTTTCTGGTTTTTGGGACAATGGAAGCTATATATTTCTTCTGAGTCTTGTATAAGTTTATACAAGGTGGCTACCTTCCACTAGCCTATTCCTTAGTCTTACTGTCTGTTATGGCAATTTGGTATTATGTTCACCGAAAAAGGTACTTGTTTGAGCTCGAGCACAAGGTTTCCAGTGAAATCATTGGACAATTGGCTGCAAACCCAGTAGTGAACAGGGTTCCAGGAATAGGGCTTTTCTACTCTGAGCTTGTGCAGGGGATACCCCCAATTTTCCCTCATTTCATAGCCCAAATCCCCTCCATTCATTCAGTTTTAGTGTTTGTCTCAACCAAGAAAATTTCTGTTACTCGAGCTGCACCAGAGGAGAGATTTCTTTTCAGACAAGTCAAGCCAAGAGAGTGCAGGATGTTCTGCTGTGTGGTGAGGTATGGCTACATGGATGTGATGGGGGAACCTGAGGTGTTTGAGCGCCATTTAGTTGAGCATTTGAAGTAAAGGAATTCATCCGCCCTGAGTACTTCATATTTGGAGAAGGTGAGGTAGCTGAACCAGAAAACCCCCAACTCTCCACTTTTGTTGCAAATGATGGTATAACAAAAGGAAACGTTAAATCAACCGCTTTTGTTGAGGAATCAATGCAACAACAGAACAACTAGTCTTGTGTTTCCTCTGCATCGATTCATTCAACAAGTGTAGCCAAGTCTGCTAATTCTTCTAACCGGATTACCCCTGAACCCATCCAGGAAATTAATGAAGAGATGCAGCTTGTGCAGAAGTCTATGGACGAAGGAGTTGTTTATTTCTCTATATCAATTCAGTCAACCAATGCAGCCAAGTCCGTGAACTCTTCTAGCTGGATCATCCCTGCACCCTTACTGGGAGTTGAGACAGAGATGCAGTTTGTGCAGAAGGCAAATGATGAAGGAGTTGTTCATCTCTTGGGGGAATCAGAGGTGGTAGCTGGAAAAAATTCGACCCTGTCCAAGAAAATAATTGTGAACTATCTTTACAGTTTTCTCAAGAGAAACTTCAGGCAAGGTCAGGCTGTATCAGTGATCCCACAAACCAGGTCCCTAAGGGTGGTAATGACCTATTAGATTTAAGAAGACTCTGTATAAATCATAAATACGTATGCACACCTTAACTAAACATATTGATGTCTACTACATAAAAATTTACGTCTGGTTTTAGAATGTTTGGTGCTTTACAATGTTATCCAAGGTTTTGTTAAATTGAGTTCGTAGAACGTTCCAGGTTCAAATTGTCCTGTTCCTAGTTGCTGTATACCAAAACTGAATCATGATGTTTGATTTCCTGTAACTGTCTCCCCTTTTTCAGACACTGAAACAACACAAAGTTGCTGAAACTTCAAGAAGTTGGGTGGCTATGACAAATTCTGCGGATTATAATATAAAGATTAGCTCATTCATTCAAAGGCAACACAACTAAGCGATAAAAAGGATGACAAACACAAATATGTCAAAGTTTGTGATAGAAATCCTACGAGGATCATGGAAGCAGGTGGATATAGAAGGCAAAATTTGTCTCTTCGTACGGATCTCTCTTTTGGCATTCTCTTCCATGACTCCATTTGATTTGTCTGCAACTCTTTTGGCCTTATTAAACCGGTTCCAACTAATGCTTAAGGTCAAAGCATAAATGCGTATCCAAACTTTGCATAATCCTTGAATTAAAATAATTTTTTATTTGGTTACATTTGAACAATGAGTTATGTAACAAGAGATCTTATAATTATATTTGTTTTGAGATTTGGATGAAACTCTTTAATTCAAAAATCTAGTTCAGTCTCTAACAGTTGGACCATGAAGTGTTTGGATTAACAGTTAAAATGTATCTAACATTGAAAAAATGATAATTATTGTTATTTATAATTTAAATATTCTTATTCATCTAAGTAGTTCAAATCCACCAACTATTTTGGCAGGCCTTGAAAGAAAATATTGTTTTGACTTCAATAAAGTTTAATCTGCAGTCCTAAAAGTTTTGCTCTAGTGATACCAAGGAGCTAATTAAATTCCCAGCTGGTTCAGCACGTTGGATAAAAACAAGCAGATCAAGGCTATGATGTCCGTTTCACTGGACATTTGATTTTAACAAATATTGTTTGAAACAGTGATGTTGACATCAAAAAATTCTAATGGACCGTGGCCTTTGATCATGTTCGGTATGGAATGTCTTCTTTTTTTTGTTTGTTTCCGAATACCTACATTCCATGAGCATATATCATCCGCTCCCTCCCGATTAAAATGTGTATCAAAAAGCTCGCCAAACATGTCGAACTTTGCTCGGGCATTTGAAGAAGACGAACAGTTCCAGAGCACCATCATCTCACAGTCATCCAACGACAATCCTTATCCTGTTGAAAGTGGTGGTGAAGGCTCCACTCTGACCCCCACAACTTCAAAGAAGAAAAGAAATCATGCGGGAAATCCAGGCAAGCATTGCAGTCCTATTTTATGCACATTTTATTGAGGTAAGAAAAGTTAGACTTACATCGTATACGATTCCATTCTTCAGACCCTGATGCTGAGGTTGTAGTATTATCTCCAAGGACTCTGATGGCCACAAATAGGTATGTATGTGAAGTGTGCCATAGAGGGTTTCAAAACGGTCAGAATCTGCAGCTGCACAGGAGAGGACGCAACCTGCCCTGGAAGCTGAAGCAAAGGTCAAACACTCAGGTTAAGAAGAGGGTGTATGTCTGTCCTGAGCCAAATTGGGTGCACCATGACCTTACCCGTGCTCTTGGTGATTTAACTGAAATCAAGAAGCACTTCTGCAGGAAGAATGGAGAGAGGAAGTAGAAGTGTGACAAGTGCTCGAAACGATACGCTGTTCAATCAGATTGGAAGGCTCACACCAAGATCTGTGGCACTAGGGAATACCGTTGTCATTGTGGCACCATTTTTGCAAGGTAAGGCCTTACTGTTTCATGATCTCTCTAGAAGTATAGGGGTGAGTAGTTTCAAGTTGGATACATTATGCTGCTAGAATCCGAAACCTGAAACCTGCCCCTCGCCATCCCTTTCACAACCTTGCGTTGCACCAATCCCCCATTATGTGCTTAGGAATGTTTTTGGTTGACTGCCTTATGCAAACTCTTAGCATGTCATCACGTTCCCTTTCTCATTGATAGGCTGATGGGAGATGTTAATGGTGATGGGATTGACGACGAAGGAGATGATGAGATTGATAATCATCTCCTTCGTCATCCTCATCATACGTCTCATGATATCACCCCTATGGGGATATTGATGAGGGAGTTGTGAGATCAACCATCACCTCCTTCATCGTCCATCCCCCAGTCTCATTGTTCCAGCCTTCTAGAATCAGCTCCCATAATTAAACCAATTGTTTTAAACAGGAAAGACAGCTTTGTCACGCAATGCATTAGCAGAAGAAAATTACAGGGTGAAGCAGAGCCTTTCCACAGGTGGAAGAATGTTGCAAGATCAAGAGCAAGAGCTCTTCACTTTCATCAATGCCCGGTTCTGATTCCTTCTTAAACACAAACACAAATACAAATGCGTCTATGAATCTGTCCACTCCGATGGAGAACATTGACAATTCTCAAAGGCCTTTATCACTGAGCTCGCCTGGAGTCATGACATGGAGCAACTTAGACCCAATTTTCAGCCAAAGAATGTCAATGGCACCCCACATGACAATCAGATCCCCCTACACCTCCGCAACAGCCTTGTTACAGAAAGCTGCGGAAATGGGTGCCAAGATCAGTGACAATACTATAGCTCCTATCATCCTCAGAGGCTTCACCGGGTACTCTTCTAGCAGCATCAACTCAGCTGGGTCTGTCCAGGAAGGCACGTCTAACATGGGACCAAATGTCCCAAGCGCCAATAGTTTCATTGTTGGAGAACAAGAAGCTCCAATGGATACAAGACCTGCCCCTTCTGTTTCTCAAGCAGCAATTTTTCAGTCTCCCCGTTTTGTACACTCAGGAAATGGAAGTTCTGGTAATCTGTTGGGAGAAGTGTACTTGGGAGGAGAAGGTGAGAAAATGACAATTGATTTCTTGGGTGTGAAACCATCCGATGGTAATCAGAGCTTTGGCAAGAAAAGAAGCTACGATAGTAACATTGTGGGTTTGGAGTACCCCAATTTTCATTCATATTGATAGAGAATTCAACGTTATAACAACTGTGCTTCTGGCTTTGATGCTCTAATAATCATAATGCTTGAATGGCAAGAGGAACTTAACTGGAAAATACTTCAAACTGGATTTGTAGTTGAATGAATCGAGGCAATGTAACTGCTCCTAATTTCTAGTTATTTTCATAATCAAAACATTCAAGAAAGTTAGAACTTCCTGTATAAATCATACATCACACGCTGTAAAATTAAGGAGTTTCAGCTTCTGCTTCGAATAAGATACAATTTCAGGAATATTAAAAAACAACGATTGTATTCAAGGAATTTGAGAGTGAAAACAATCTTCTGTAAAAGCAAGCACCCAAAAACCCAGTAATAAAATATGGGAAAAGAAGAAAAATATAAACAGACACTACCTCAGTTCAATTATAACACTCTTCTAATATAAAGATATAAATTGACCTTAATATATCTGATTAATTTATCAGCGCCAAACTAAATCCCCAGAAAAACAAATGTATTACAGCACAATGCTCACCCCAAGTATCTAGCAATTCGGTTTAATCTACGCGGTGCCATACATACCTGTGCCAGAATAGTGCATTCCTTGCAGAGACAATTTAAAACAACCTTCCATGGATTTTTTTTCGAAAAGCCAACCTTCTGATGGGTAATTCCACTTGCTCTCAGGGTCATGAATTTCCACTTGGCCAAGACGACCAATATCAATGAGATGAGATCATTATGTGTCTATTCGCCACTATAATCCAGGCTATAAAAGCAATCTTTATTTACCTCTTCATTTTCTGCTTTTTAAACCATGTTCTAATCCAAACTCAGCAGCCAACCTATGGATTTCAGGTGTGATCTCCCAGTTGGTCATTTCATCCCAGTGCACATGTCTTGGTTCTGTGCCACATCTTTCGAATCTGCCAATGCCATCAAGCTGACTCTGTATTTCTTCAAAATCTTCAGCAGCAACAGCACGCCGTTTTCCCATCTCTATGTCGTAGCTTGTTTTTGGCACCTCTGGACTCATTGTCCGGCCATGTGAAATTGAAGCAGCAAGGATAGAAGATGAGTTTAACTTGATCTTTGCCCTGAAGTTGTTTTTCGACTTAGGAATTTTTGAGAAGAAAATATCCACAATGTTGTGTGCACAACCAAGGTTATAAGGATTCATCTTTCCATTATATTGATATCGAAAATTCTCATAAGTTGTCTGCAGTAACACCAGTTGGTCAAAAACAATAAAAAGATAAAGGAAAGGAAAAGAAAAGAGAAGTAAATCATGGAATGAATTAAGGCAAAGGAAAGATTAAGACCTGATTGGTAAAAATCAAATAGAGGTGAAACGAAGTGAGACCTCCAACAAACCAAGCAGTTACAAAGGTATATAGTATAAGAATCAATGAAACAGGTGACTCTGAAAAGGCCCTCCACAGACTACAATGGTTTGCTGCCATTATTTTCACGATGTTCACCCAGCAAAATGCAAAAACATATAGGCATAGCATGGTTGTGGAGAACACAAACATGAAAAAGAATCTGTAATTCCTCTGTGATCAAAAGAAATCTTTAAGATGTTAGCTTCCAAAAATTAAGAAGGCATCCCACAAATAAAATAACAATCAGCCAATAACAGTCAAACTTAGAAAAGAAAAATGGAGATGAAAAGGTAAAATTTCCAATAAAATTAGGATAAAATGCTGATTCACTAGAATAGACCACTTTGAAGTTATTCAACAAGCCACAAAATCATGTTCCTATTTAATATAAAGAGACATAGAAAATACTCTAACCTAGGCAATAATTCAGTCATAGAAACTTGCATTTCTTGATTCTTTCAACAAAAGCTACAAAGTTGATTAGGAAATTTGCAATAAGGTAAGTTCTATGAGCTGCCAATCTGGCCGTATAGGCAAATTCCAAGTTTCTAACTGAGTAAAGGGAAATAACAGTTAGAATTTGTGAATAGGAATCTTCCCTGTGATGAAAGGAATTCCCTCAAAATGAATTGGGTTCAATTGCTCATTGCTAAAAGAAGTAATTAGCAAAAGATCAGATCCATGCAAGATGAACGTAAATAAAATACATGTTCAACCAGATAAATATATATGACAACTATTTTTTATATATGGGGTGGTGGTGGGAATTTGAATGCATCTCTTTTGGCTTGGGGAACATGTACTTGGCCAATTTATCTCGTCACAACTGATTCTGATGTCATTGTTTGGGAAATATAACAACAAAGGGAACTGTACCAAACTGATCCAATACCCTACCGGCTTTTGCATGGGTGAATAATCACAGTTCAAGTTCAAGATAATCTAGAACTTCTTCCATGTTATGCTGTTTTTTCACAAAGAAGCAGACACATTATTCTAGTGCAGGAGGAACAAAATCATGCACAAATGCAAGCAAAAACAATTCAAGCAATTAAGCAGGATCCAAGGGAATTTCAAGAAACATGGTAAAATTAATGTTTTCATGAACTCATACTATTTCCCATTTTTAGTAAGAAAGTTCAACAGTGAAAAAGCTATAAATTTAATGAAAAAAAAAATGAAGATTAGAATTTACCTTACCAATACATTGCCCAACCCAAGGACAATGGTGATCAAAACGCTCTACACAGTTATTGCATATAGAGCAATGAGAACATCGTGGTGGGCGATATAACGTGCACGTTTGGCAGTACTTGACCCTGACTATCATCCCATTAACCACAATATCTTTGGTAGGTGGTATAGTGGATACACCACTTTGACTTCCTCCCCAATCTGCAGACATACTTGAGCGATCATCCTCTGGTTCTGGAGGATGTAAATTACGAGGAATAATGCCAGGATCCCTTGAAGATGTAAGAAGGAGAAGAGTTATGTCCTGAAATGGTCAACAAGCCAACAGCATCATTATAATACATTCACGAAATTATTCCAATAGCATCAAAGAATTTTGAGCAGTTCAGTAATAGCCCAGTAACAGTTTTCATTTATCATTTATCCTTTTATTAGGACTCGGGATTAAAGAAGCACATGAAAAATGCCACTCATTATCGTGTGTTTGCGGCAACTGGTTCCCATTTCCTCACAATGCAGCAAGGTGCATACTTGATTGAGGGAAGAAGTTTCTTTATACCATAGAGCACAATGAAATTTTGCACCAAGCTTCAATGGAACTTTAAAGAGTAAAGAAACCATATTAAATATCAATTGACTAGTGAATTTAATGTTTCATTTCCACATGACCTATAACAATTTTCTTGGCAACCAAAAATGGTCTGACCATAATGCCTTTGGGTGGTAAAGGAAAGACAGAGACCTAATAAAAATTATTCATCATATTCTTAACCCCAAGAATTGCACAAAGCTTTATCCTTTTTATTTTCGTATCTCTCACTTCAGCATCTAGAAAAATAGAGACAGTTTTGAACACCCTTTTAATTAGTAGGATTCATATTCATATGTACAAACAAATTCAGCATCCATGAGAAGCAGAAGGAAAGAATATCTTAAAAAATAAATAGAAATAGAAAAGGGGAGAGTTTTGGAGGAAGAACTCACATATACTGTGAAGATGACACATATAGCAACCAAAAGAATGCCCATAGGGTGCTCGAATTCATGAATGAGTCTGTGAGAAACAAAAGCACAAAACAGACTTACTGGGATCACAATCAAGGAAACTGTGATGTATATCGACCCAACATCCGGACCAAAGATAAATCTCCCTCCAAAGCAGAATCTCTGCGAAAGATAGAAATTATGCTTCAAATAAACCTCAACAGCTATGCATAATGCATAATGCATTGCTAAAATGATTCGAGAATTGCAGAACAAAGAAGAAAAAGGGGAAGGGAATGGATATACATTGCTTCCTTTCCAAACTTCGTAAACACGGACGGTTGGGACATTGGTCCCGATGATTTGCCGGTTGGACTCAGAAAGCTGAGGAGGCCGCGCGGCCGCGTACATCTCTCGCCTCAGCCCAACAACACCACACACCACCAGATCTCTCTACAATTTCACCGTCGCAAAAAGGTCCGCATCATCGCCGACGCTCCGCCACCACAACATTGCACGATCAATTTCACCAGAAAACATGAACGAGATCGATCCACAGTAAAATGTAGGCGAGAGAGAAAAGAGAAATACCTTTTTACCGGAAAGAGGAAGAAGAATGGGAGTTTATAGGAAGAAAAGCAGGATTTGCTAAGGAAGATAGAAAAAGGGAGAACTGAAGGTGAAGAAGAAGAAGAAACAGTGTTTGGGTTTGGGATGGGGAGCTCAAAGAAGGAACCTCCAAGCCCGAGAGCCAGAGAAGAAGAGGAGAAGGAGACAGCAATGGTTGCGCAGAGAGAGTTGCTCGCTGGAGGGGAGATTTTCCGCCAGATGTCTGGGATCGCCGATTTTGACGAATAGGTCCCACATAACTATTAAGTAGTATAAAACATTAAATAAAGGAATAGACCACATTCCTTTATCCCAAAAAAAAAAAAAAGAAGGGAATAGACCATATTTAAGCTATTAAAGAAATGTTGGTAGCCACTAGAGCACCGGAACTTTTCGATTCCGACATTAGAACCCAAAACATATGGTCACCCTTAAGTTGTCATTGATTAATACTAAGAATATCATAATTTTGTTTCTAATCTACCCTTCACTTAAAAACATTAGTTTCGAGGTGAGAAAAAAACAAAAATATCATTAATAAATCTTTGTATATTCTTCATTCATTAAAAGTATTTTTATCTTTTTAAACTCCAAATTGATGCTTTTAAAGTATATTTCAAATTGTAAAAAAAGGGCTTTTTGTATTCCCTCTATTATTTCTTTACAATATAGAAATAATATAATTATAATGTTATATAAAATTATAAATTTACAATAATATTATAACATTAAATAAATAAACATAAACAATATTATGCATGACCTATAAATAAAAAAAAATCATATAATACATTGTTATAATTATAAGGTTACAATGCCAAGTGGTATTGTAACTGTAATATATATTTTTTTTAATTGTCCTTTTAAAAATTTTTCTAGAAGTTTTTTTAATTTATATTTTTAAAATACAAGTTAAAAGTATTTTTTTATTAAAAAAATATATAAAAAATATAAAAATTAATATTAATTTTAACATCAATACTAAATGAGTAAATTTAATTAAATAATTAATAAATTACATATTAATTTTTATTTTTTAGTATAAATTTAAAATAAAAATATATATTTAATATATTTTTAACACATAAACAAATCCTTTTTCTAGTTACTTTTTAAATGTTGTTCTCTAAAATCAATATAGCGTTTAATTCTTTTTTCACAATTTTACCCTCTAGTCTACTAACAGCATTAAATGCAAGGGTATCCTTACATAAATTGGAAAAGGAAACCTCGGTACTTTAAGCTTGAATTTTTTTTTCTATTATCAAATACTACATAATAGTTTTCTTAATACTCCCCTTGCTCCATATCACTAGTTGTTTTAGTTAATTTCATGAGGATTAAGGAAATCAAGTAATTACTCTTAATTTTAGGGACAAATGCATATAAAATACAATATTACTCTTCTTACGCTTTACCATTTATCACCTGCTAATTCTCCCCCCTTTTTTTTTCTAACTCCATCATAACGGACAAAACTCCGAATTAAACAAAAAAACGAATACATAAAAAATATACAAATCTCATTTAGTATAATTAAAGAAGATTCAGTGATAGAAAACCCAACCCGTTTCAGGGCATCTGGGCACATTGGATGAAAGTGAGTTTTTGCGTGGTGAGTCATCAAATGCCGACGTATCCAATCATCAGTTTCAAGAAAGCAACCTTTTTTTTCCTTTTTTTTTTTGCTTACCCTGAAGAAATTGGGTTTTATCGGATCATAGTGACGGAGCCATCGGAGAGTAACAGTAGAGTAAGAATAAGATCGTGGAATTTGAAACCATCGAGAAGATGAAAGGGTGGTGGTAGTGCTCACAATCAAATGCATGAAAGGGGTTTTACTGTCTAGGTGGTTCAGACAATTCTTGGAGAGCTTAATTATAAAACGTTGAACGCTTTCAGGCCTTGAATATGATTTTGTCCTTGGAAAAAAATTAATATTGTATTAAATAAAAGAGGAAAATTTGAGTAGAAAATGGGAAAAAAGAAGAAGATGGTCAAAAGTGATTCCATGACAAGGACGAATTTGCAACTCCCAATGTTTCATGGAGAAGCTTCGGCTCCAAAAGTTATACACCTTCCTTGCTTTCATTTTCAGTTTTGCCCCCAGTTGGCCCCAACAAAGAGGATAGTTTAGGGGAAAAAAGGATTGTTAATCTTTCCTCTTTTTTTTATTTGTTTGGGTGCACCCTAACCTTTCCAGATAAATTTAATTGAGTCCTTAGCCTCTTATCATGACACTTTGGCTCTAACGATTTTATATTTGTCTCCTTTAATTAGTAAAATGAATGACAATGGTAATAGAAATGAACCCCTAACCTCTCCCTTCCCAAGAAATAATTCATTAGTTTTATCACTAATTAGGATTGTTTAATTCATTTTATCATTATCTTAAATTCTACAATACTTATACATGACGAATAATCTTTTAATATTAAAACAATTATCAAATGAGAATAGATCCAAGATACTTTGTATATATATTGAGATATAAGTTATTTAAGGACTAAATTAAGTCATTTGAATAAGGTTGAGGATGTAGGGAATGACTAAGGTTAAGGATTACCATAATCACATCAAACAAGTAAACACATACCAATTCACGTACTTGTCTATCAGGTGACAAAAATAGTTAATCATAATAAGTAAGATTTTATTATAAGAAATATTAAACTCACAGTTTGTGGAAGTTTTCAAATTTTTAGCTTCAATGACTAAAATTATGAAATATAGGCACATTAGCCCCTCAAAACAATTTTCACCCTTAACACAAGACCCCGATGAAACTTTGGTAGCAAATAAGCCTCAAGAGTTGCAATATACAACAAATGCACTTAAAGTGGATAAAGAGGGTTGAAGACATCTGTGTTCATTAATACATGCTTAATCATTCTCACCTTGGACACATTCGCTTCGTGAGCACATTAGCTACATATTGAAATTTTGAGGGTTTTGTTTGTCACCAAAATTTCATCATTTTAAAGACCACATATGCATATACAAACAGACAGTAACAATCACGTGACCCACTTCGTCAGGGCACATTTACTGTTGCAACTTTGGGAGCATTTTTTATACAAAAGCTTCATGGGATGTTTAATTATTTGTATGCGGAAATTATTTTAAGGGGTTATTTGTAATTTTCCCTTAAATTTAAAGAATCAGAATTTTGTTGCCTTTAGGGTTAAGATTGACGATTGGCGGTAAGGATAAATTCTCATATCCCCTTTAATTATTCCCCGATTTGCAAAATTATTCAATTTAATATTCTCTATTTATATTCTAACTATACCTCTACATGTGATATTCTTATGCTGAAAGAGATTGCATACATTGACAGAAAGGGTGTTAACAAATCCTAATCCCAAATGGGTATTCCCAATTTAACTGTTCAAGTTCTCAACCTTTCTCCTGGTATGATCCTTGATGACCTGATTTTGTTCTTCTCTTATTGTGGAACTGTTGAGGATATTGAGGTTGAGATCAGGTAAATGAAAACCCCAAACCCCATTTTCTATTTCAATTTTTACTTTATTTTGTAATATTGCCTTTTGATGTGTTTTTGGATCTCATCAGCTTAAATAAAGCCCAACCCAGGTCAGCTCTGGTGTCATTCAAGCAGCCATATGCTTTCCAAACTGCTCTTCTCTTAAATGTAAGCAAAGAAGTATCCTCCAATATATGGGTGATATTTTTTATGGTGCTAATGATGTGGAACCAAGATGGAAAGGGGTTTTCCCACGTTTCTTTCAAATAATATTTGATATTTTTTAGTATTTAATTATTGGTTTTAGTCATCTTTGTGTTGTTCCCTGGGAAACTCTTAAATAGACAAATTTGAAGACTGATAAATTGATATATGTAATGTGTTCTTTTACTTCCATTTGTTATCCATTTGACTTCTGTTCAATGATTTGAATAAAATTTCTTAAAAAACTAATAAGCTAGTGTAATTTGCTGTTTGATTTTATTTGTAGGGGGCAAATTTCGCAGGCCAGCCAGTTCATGTTCTGCAATTGAAGTATTTTGCATATCCTTCACACATAGATAAAGTGACTAATCTCAGACAGACTCAGGTCTCTGTCTCTCCATCTTTACTTAGAAAGCAAATTTTGGTTGTTTTTTGTGAAGATTTGGTGCTATATTACTGTTTCTAGTTCAGATATGGTTTTATGGGCTATGGGTGTGTATTCTACAGAACCGCTTCGTACAAGGGATTGTTCTGACAAAGCGCTTTCGGAGAGAGGTAGAGATCAACTGATTCACCGGACAGGACATAATGTTGTTGCAGCAAAGCAGGCAGAAGCAGACAAAGCAGGCAGCATCACAAATGGTGAGTATGTTTCATCTGGTACTGTTTGGTTCTCTGCAATGTTTGGAAAAGCTTCCAAGAGTATCTCAGAATTGAGCACCTCTAGGAAGAGGAATAACCCCAATTCTAGGAAGCAAAAATAAGCTGCACCAGGATTTTCTCTCCCAAAGTTGAGATTGTAGGAAAAATGTATCAACTAAAATAATAATTTTATGCCCAAAGTGCATTGTAAATACTTTTTAAGCAATCTATGCAATGCTTGTTTGGTCTAACTTCTAAAAAGGTTACTACAAAGTCTAAACTGTGAAAAAAATCATCGCTTTGATATCATTTTTGTTAGAATAAGACCTTAGAGAGCTCGCAAATGTAGCCGAGTACATGAAACTCAAATGCCATCCTTATTACTTCTATATAGAACTTCAAACAGAAATGCAATAGAGAGAGAGTATTTTACTGATATAACAAATATGAATTCTTTGTACACATTTCTGTCATTTGTTGCCAATTCCTGGATTAATAATATAAGAGAACAGTTAAGTAAGAGAGCCAACTCGTCACACAGATGCAACAAATCATTCATGGCAGACGGTACAGAATTACTTAAAAGATCAATACAATCACATCAACATAATCCATTCCCTCATGATATGCTAGTGAATCTCTCTGTATTTCTTCTTCTTTCTGCCTTCAATCATGCAGTTTCAAAGATGTTAATTTCACAACAAATGGAAGAACTTTCCTTACTTCTACATGGATTGGGCCAAACCTTCTTCTAGGCCTAATTTTTTTCCTCTTTATTTTTCTTCTCCCATCTTCATGCTTTGGGCTTTTTCTCAACTCAGCCTTATATGAGGCTGTTTATTGGAGCCTAAAAACTAGGGGTAAACATTTTTTTTAGTGTAGGTTAGATATGAGTTATATTTGATATTTAATTCAAAATTTTTTGGGTATGACATTTAGGCATGGTACTTATCCTAATAATTAAAGATTTATACTTGGTATCTAACCCAACAAGTAATAGGAATTTGTGGGTATATAGTTGTGTATTTGGTTTAAGAAAAAAAAAAAGACATTGTACGAGTTGTTATTGTTACTAGTGTCATGTGTTTAGCTTAGGGTTTGTAATTTATATAAGTTGTTATTGCTATGTGTGTGAGTTCTTTGTCTTACATGCCTTTACATTTATTTCTGTTGTAGTATTTTATTATTTTTATTTTTAAAAATTATTATTATTTTATAAATATTAAGTATATAAAGTATACGTAAAATTTCAATTATACTAGTATAAGTAATAAGTCAATTAAATAGGTCGATTAAATGCATAAGGTAAATAATTTTCAACCCCTATATTTATTACTTGGCTTAATATTGACAGGTATTACTTACCTAATTTTTTCACGATTCGGGTATGATACTTACCCAAACGGACAAGAGATTTGCAAATAACAAGTATACCCATGCCTCATGCTCACCCCTATTAAAAACATATTTGTTTTTAATGAAAATGCTACAGGTGTACTCATACCTAATTCTCATCCCTATTAAAAACAACCCTATTAAAAACATACTTGTTTTTAATGAAAATGATATAATTATAATATCACGTGATATTATAAACTTATAACATAATATATTATTAAATAATTAAGTTTTTTTATTCAAGAATTCACCTATAATATTATGCACATCTGCCCATTTAATGCTATATCATATTCACTTAATGCCATATAAAAGTGTAAATTTTATGTGGCATTCTGACTATTGCATTGTTATTATTTTTAAGATAAATTATTCTCTCACAAATTTAAAATTTTATTTGAAAAAATAATTTGAATTTAACTTTAAAAATGACCTTAAAACAAGTTTTGAGAAATCTAACCGCCCTGTATCCCTATGAGAATGAAATCATGAATATAAACTGAACAATATTTTAAAAGAGAATGTTGGCAAACTACACTTCTTTTAATTATTAATAAATTAATTTTTTTAATATGTCTTAAAAATATAGATTAATAGTATAATTATTGTGTTTTTTACATTAATTATTATTAAAAAAAATATAAATTATTATTAATTTCATTATTAGTGTGATGTGAATTATTTTAGTTAGATAATTATTTCAATAAAAATCAATTTTAATTTTTTAATACTAATTAATATTAAAAAATATAGTAATTATATCTTTAAAAATATAAATTAAAAATTTTTAATAAAAAAGAAAATTTTTAATATAAAAAATTACTTTTTTATTATAAAAAGTGTAATTTGTGTAAATAAATAAACAAAAATAAAAGTTGTGTTAACAAAAATAAAAGTTGTGTTATGGTTATAAAATCAAAAAAGGAAAGTGTAGTTGGGTTGCAGAAGTGGTGGAAATTTGGATTGGACAATTACGGGCAGGGTAAGGGAAAAGGGAACGTTGGACTTGGAAAATTAGAATCCAAACACATGCCCCCAAGGTGTTCCCCCTTACCTCAAGTGGGGAGTGAATGCAGTCGGCAAGGAAATTATTAAAGCCACTAAAATTTTATCAAAAAATATTAATTTTATTTATTTTAATTATTAAGAATAGTGTTTTTTTCTTTTTGTATGAATCACTCGATATTCAAAAACTCATTATGTCACCGACTAATCCGGATTCAAGTCGGACAGAATTTAATTAGCAGTAAAATTCTCCCTCACAAGTTTTAACAGAACTGCATTTCTAAAACTTGAAACCAAGATCTTTGGTTAAATTGAAAGAGTTTCTTACCAACTTATCTACTTGCTCGTAGGTAATTATTAAGAATAGTTAATGATTAATAAAATAATTAATATTTATTATTTAATAAATTAAAATTAAATTATGAATTAATATTTTTAGACATTATAATTATTTGTTTAAACAAATTATAAATATAAATTACATTGTATACAATTTAATAGTCTTATCCTTTTACTAGTGACCATAATCACACCTAATAAAGGTTTGACTTTAGTTGGACGAGTTGACTTCCTTGTTGATTTAAGATAGTTTTTTTTTTTTTTTTGCATAGTAAAAGACAATCATTTCATATCTCTTATCACATCTCTTATCTCATATCACCCGCATACTATGCGACTCGAATTCAGAATCTCTTACTTCCAACGGAAAGAGATGACCACTGAGCTACTTAGGTTGTTGGCCAAGCTAATCT